TTGTGTACTAACATTAACAAAACGAAATATGTTTACGTTAAACAGCCAAAATATGCTAGAAAACAAAGATAAATTGCAGTGATTTTGAAAGGACTTGTAAACCACAATCACCAGGTCAGAAAACCAGAATGTTCTGCCCCAATTAAACTTGTCGGCACTCAAGATGGTGAGTGCTGTTGTCAAATGTTTGGAATTCCGTCGAGATGCTGCCACCCGTGTTATCGTTTGTCTTGGGTTGCTAGGAAACAGACGAGAGAGTGAGTCAGCGATCGATAGGATGGTCTTCTTTCACCTGTTTTCGAAATCTTGTCATCCCATTTTAGACTACTTCATTATACAACGAAGCATCAGAAGTTCCTTATGCCCTTTATTCACTGATCACTCCTGATGTCTTTTTATTAATAGCGTTAGAAAAAAATCATAACATTTCGATTGGTAGTAGCTTTGTATATGTTATTTCAGCCATCTTATACAAAGACCATACAAGATGGTGTACTGTTGAACTACACTTACGAAAATACAATACATTTGCAAGATGTAACAGTTTTAAATCCTTCGATCTTAAATTATTTTCCGAGAGCACAAATTATGGAGTTTCTGATCTTGTAATTTTCTCCAGCCTCTCTCTTCGGTCCAGATATTCTCCTCAGTACTTTGTTGTCAGTTTGAGTGTGTGCTCTTTGCTTAGGGCGAGGGACCTAGTTCACCTCCACACAAAGCAACCGGGGTGGGGGTGGGGGGTTATAATTCTGTTTATCTCACTTTTATTGTGTTTGGATAGGAGACGGTGAAAGGTTCTGAAATTAATGGCATTATATTTAATGCTATTATAATTTTTCCGTGAATGCAGTCGCCATTTGTTACTATCATTTCCAAATATTTTAAACTTCACTACATTTGAGAATGAATTTTTAGTTAATGATAATGTTCTTCTGGGTTTTGGCGCGCCGCGTCAAATTGATTTTAAACTGAAGAAGTTTCTGATTCTATAGCAACTGCAAATTTCTTAGTCAGTTCCACGTTTACCTGCAGCTCATTGCGGTACTTATTTTATAGACTCACTTGTCTAATACGGGATAAATGTTCATGTCGTGGTTAAATTCACTGCTTCAAATTACACGTGTATAAATGAACCTTGATGACGGCTGAATTCAACAGTGTGGAGTCTTGGCATTATGCAAGTTTAATTCGCTCCTTCTGCGAAGTCAAGCAGCCTTAAGAGGATGCGAGTAAATTAAGGAAGGGGATTACTAGAGTAACGTCTTTCTGTCATGCCTTAAGTAGGAAACAAATTTATTTTTACAAATACATTTAATTTTATAATTCAGAACTCTTTTGCTAATGAACAAATTTTTTAATAAAGTTTACGTTGCATAATGAAATAATGAACAATTAATACGATGTGCTGGATCCAGTAGAATCGTTTAACTATAAATTATTCGCTATGTACTATTGGCCAAGTGACCGACGTGTGAATAAATTTGGAGACCCCTGGAACGGATGGACATCTGCAAGACCCAGAAGCTGAGTTCTGTATTTGTGAAGTCTTTACACTGTGCGCTCCAGTGCTTGTCCCTCCCAGGCCTTTTTAATGAGGTCGGACACTTTCTCTGCCGCCATTATGATGACAGACGTCGGATTGCAGTTGGGCAAAGTAGGGAAGATACTGGCGTCCACCACTCTGATGTTCGTCACTCCGTGTACCCTGAGCTGGTTGTCCAAGACGGCCAGCTCTTCCTCGGCGGGGGCCATCTTGCAGGTCCCTCCCTGGTGGTTCTCTGGTCCAGTCTCCCTACGCACCGCGCAAGCGAAGTACTCGTCCGAGCCAAACACGTAGTTCTCGCAGCCCTTAACCGGAGTCGTGTCCAAGACGAGGCCATATTTCTGCAGTGCCGGCGTGTTGGCCAACTGGATACTGAGCTTTATGCCGTCCACCAGTATGTCAACATCGCTCTGAGACTCGAGGTAATGCGGGTATATGAGCGGATAGTCGAGGGGATCGGAACTGTTCAGCTTGAGGTACCCCCTGCTCTCGGGTATAGTTAGAGTGGGACGAGCCTGCAGACGCCTGTTGGCACAGTTCTGGAGGCTTCCAGTGCTCTCGCACTCTTCAGATGCTCCCGACTTCGAACATTTCGCCGAGTACCCATTGAAGAATACCTAAACAAGTAAATAAAGACTATGAGAATGAGACTAGTGGTACCTGCGCGGACCGAGTAAATTTTGCCTGTGGATAGGCGGTGTTTTCTTGACGGCGGATTCCCCACGAGCTTCCTTGACTGTGTCGGATTCCTCACGCGTGCATCACCATTGCGCCAAGTATAACCATGGTAATAAAAGTGGTAGACCGGGGATTTACCGCGTGGGGAGTCTTTGCATTCACTTCGGCGCAAACGCGCATGTAGGCCTGCACGTAAAGTGACCAGAATTGTTGTTTGAACGAAATTTGGAATTTCATACGAGCCAAAGCAACCAGGACCAAATTCTATGAAAATCCGTTCAACCAGTTTAGTTACTACATGCAGGCAGGCGGATGAATGAACGGATGTGCTTGATAGAAAGAAACGAAGAAAAAAAGGAAGGAATAAAAATAATTGAATAAAAATTTTCTTGGATATTATCCATCGTCTAGTATCGTGTTTAATGAATTTTGATTTCTACTATCTATTCTTTTACGTCCCACGGATGGATGGTGTGGTGATGTCTTTTTATTCCGGGACTTTCACTCTTTTACTTTGTCCGGAGATAGGGATTAGCTCTATCTAGTGGGCCCAACTGTGTAGGAACCTGAAGACGGAGATAAATTCCCATCTCCGAAACGTCGTTTTTACGTTTTATATTTTAGGTACTAGACGATTGATAATATCTAAGAAAATTTTTATTCAATTGACTCTTCACCACCGTCAAGAAGTTTTAGATTTGAATAAAAATAAATTACTAAGGTACGGAAGAAAGTGTGACCGTACGTGATTTACTCACCTGCAGGTCTGACACCCCGTCCTTAGCATATTTGGATGTCATGAGCAGGGTGGTCTGCGTGAGCCCGGTGCTTGCCATGTTTCCCGTCCGGTTCTGTATAAACTCTTCAACGGATTCTAACGTCAAGGAATTTGTGCTGGCCTCGTTCATGTAGAAACCAATGGATCCCGCTACATGATTTTGCAAGTTTCGACCGACACCGGGAAGATCCACGATGACGTCTATACCGACTGCTTCCAGATCTTTCCTAGGCCCCACTCCAGACAGGAGCAGCAGTTGAGGGGAGTTGATGGCCCCGGCTGAGAGGATGACCTCTTTGAGCGCATACACCGTCTGCTTGTTACCCGCCTGATCGACGTATTCTACTCCACGAGCTTTCTTCGTAGCGGGGTCGATCAGAATCTTTGTCGCTTGTGAATTCACTGCGATCTGCAACATAACACAATTGTACGTCTTACAACTTGAAACAGAAACGTAATATATTGGTGTACCACCGCTATTTGATGACTTCTCGCAGCTCTGGCACGCTGCTATCTGCTCTGCTTTGCGAGTGAATGTGACACTCTGAGATGTGTTCTGACCGCTATATGCTCGCGAGTATACAGTTCAACGATACGAGTTTAAATGAAAACAGCTCCGCATTATTCCACTCTAGCTGGAGCTTAACAGCCACGGTGGTCTAGCGGTTAGAACGCTGGCCTTGTAATCCTGGGGTCTCGGGTTCGATTCCCGGCGGTGCCCGAATTTATAACTTGTGTTGGGCAAGGCCGTGGTCTAGGCAACACGGAGTTTTCCTCCGGGGGCTTCCCCGGTTTCTCCGTGGCATCCCATTCACACACAGAAGAAGGCAATGGCAAACCACTTCTGGATCATCTGCCAAGAACGTATATGAACAGGTCCCAGTCCGAGAAAAGGATGAAAGGATCCTGTTCATATGGACCTGTCGTCAGACAGGACACTAAAAAAAAAGCTGGAGCTTGCTACGTCACACCCTGGCGGGGATCAGGGATAATTAAATCGCGGTGCTACCATCTTTAGAATTTCAGAGTAAAGGAGTTCTCGGCTGAATTTGTGAAGTGTGTGGCATGATATCCTCACACCTATTCTTCTCGTCAATTTGTAAGGTGACTGAAGAATGAATTTATAAAACTCTCTGGAAAGAATACAATGTGGTTTATCCGTATTATTCTCTGCATTTTCCTCGACAGATTGAGCGAAAGCACTAAAACCTCAGGATAACGTGCCTGCAGATTTTGATTCAAACTCGGAATCAGGAACGTACAAGCAAGCGGGCGGGCATGCATGCTGTGTCACAAGCCAGAATACACATTTGAAGAAGGCGAGAGACTCATTCCAGTGGCAAGGTTGAACGGGACTTCGCTGACCTTGATGTTTTCTCTCGTGTTGAGGAATGGCCGCAGGTACATCCTCGCAGTGCTCGCGCGTAGCCCTTCGTAAACCATCATCTGGGCGACAGCCGCTCCTGTCTGGTTGTGGCCGTTGAGGTCTCCGTTCCTGTAACCCAGTTGCGTCCCTGCCTCCACCACGACATCGGCGAGAGGGGGTCGTGACGGGAATTGCTGAACCACCATGGGGCCACTGAACCCGTGGTATCCGGGATCCACCAGGTCGGGGTTCAGGTTGTTTTCCGACTTGATGAAGTACTGAAGAACGTCTTGCGAACTCCATCCTGGATTGGCCTTACCCCACTCGTCGAAGATCGAGGCATGAGGCCGTGTGTACATCATCCCTTGCATCCCTAGCAGGGTTGCAACAAATCAGGACAGAAGTGTTAAGTACGTTAATGGTAATCGCAAAGAAGTGTGAGTTGGACAGGATGTGTAGCACACACCTGAAGATCAGAAATGCGTACAGGATTATGGTTCGAATGTCTGAAGAGGAAAATCCACTCGGAAACCCCGGCTTACATTGGCGGATAATATTAAAATTTATCTTAGGAATGTGGGTTACAGGGCATGGATTGGATTCATCTAGCTCAAGATAAGGACGGCAGTGGTCTCTTGTGAACACAGACACGAAACTTGGCCTCCGTGGTGAGAAGTAAAATGGCGAAGAGAAAAATTGAGACCCTAAAGGAGGAGTTACGACCCAGTTGGAGAGACAGGAAGAAAGTTAAGTTCTCCCAGCGGTAAAGACGTCGACTGTGGTCTACTGGGCCATGACGACTTGTAGTTCTGTATGTTAGGTTACCAACGAGTTTAACTCTGAAGGTGGGGTCGATACGTTCTTTCAGAGCTTTTGTAACCGCATACAGAACTACACCAGCTTCAGAACCCAGCAGGTCACAAGCATGTAAACAAACCCTCGCACTTTGTGTATTATACCTGATGTGCCTGAGACCATTTTTCCACGAGGCCACTTGCAGCGTCCTCCAGTAGAGAGGCAGGCCTGCGATGACGGCTCTGTCGTATACTTCCAGTCCAGAGACGTTCCTATGGCACTCACTGAGAAAGCAGGCACCGACGTTATGCTGGGTTCTTCCGGGCCTGCACAGCGAACAAGTCACAGATCAACCAATGTCTCTGTATAGCCTACAGAATGATTCAAAGTTCCAGTATAATGTTTTTTTGGGAAATCTTTTGGGGTACAAACTCGGAGATGTTGACAAATTTCAAAACGACTTTATTTATGAAGGTGAATGTCTTCTGGGCTGTAGCGCCGTCTAGTGTGTGTTAGAAGTTTCCCAGCGTCGATTAAAATCGCCCTGATGATGGAGGCAGCAAGGGCCTCTGAAACGTTGGTAAACTGTCAGACTACTCAACGTTATAACCGAGACGACAGCCATCTTTGGACTCACCGCCATGAAAACCTCAAATCCGAATTCATTTACATTTTTTGTTCGAAATGATTTCCCCAACAACATCCTTGATTTAGTAGAGCTTGAGATAATTCTGTATATTTCTGTCTAATGAAGTGCAGTTCGAGTTATCAAGTAACGTGGTCTAGTGCAGCGAAGTCTTGAGGAAAGAAAGGCTAATGTATGTAAAAACTTTCTTTTCGTTATGCAGGAAATTTAAATTTTTGTTCTTATCTATTTTCGGATTTGAGGCACATTTATAAGGCATCTTACGACAGAGTCAACAAGTATCTTGTGTTTGAGATACATTTTTCAAACACTAAAACATCTTTGAATCTCTTTCCTCTCTTACGATTTAGAAACTGCTTCTTGGGAACGATTTTCAGGTAACCCTTGGCATTTTACATTCCCAACATTTTTGAATATTTATCTATGCAACAGTAAGCTAAAAGCTAACATTTCTCTTCTCCTTCACTTTGTTTCTCAGGGTTTTGAAAAGTTAGTGAACTTATTTTTGAGGTGCACTTTTCGTTTTACAAAGTTACAAAATGGTTTGCTCTGTTTCTGTCCGATTTACGATTTCAGATATAACATTCTGCTGCAAAGAAGAAACAAACTTAGCTTTGCACTTTGCATATTGAAAATGAAGTCTACTTTGCATGAAACACGATGGTGTAAACATAATCTACGTCTTTGTTATTTTTCTCTATGAGGTATCGTTTAATTGTGATTTGTGGAAGAATGGTCGAAGAATTGCTTCCGTGGCACTTCTCTGACGTTTACCTTTAACGCGCAGGTCTGCTGTGATTTTCATTTGTTTAATTTAATCTGCGAGTGACGGGCAAGCAGTTTTAAACTCTGCGTTTTATAATTAGAGCTGGTAACATTGCGGCTTTCGGAAATTAAGCTTGTCACCGACCTGCTTCCAGTAGTAAGACGTTCCATTCCGACAATTCGCTCAGTCGGGAAGCCACCACGGGTCCCGCGACCCCAGCTCCCACCACAATGAAATCGTAGTGGTTAGCGGCCCTATTAGGGGCCGTCTTGGCTCCGAACCTGCGGCAGGGGTCAGTGATATCGCACTGGTTCCTCAAGAGGTACTCGACCAGTCCCATGAAGAGTGTGAAGTTGGCCCCACACACTCCAGTCAGAAAGGACGTGTCGGCGAAAGTGCAGCCGCACGACGACGTTTCGGGAAGTACCATGTTCTGAAATAAGAATTCGTCACTCATAATTAAACAACTCCATGGAGCACAGTCATTGAGAAGCTGACAGTGCGCTCAGTCTATTAATTCCTCGTGTTTACAGAAGCCCGCCATCTGCGCTTAGGTCTTCCAAGTGATCTCTTTTCTTCAAGTTTTACAACCAGAATTATGTACGTAATTTTTGTCTCTCCCATGCGCGCTTGAAGTCCCACCCATCTCATCTTCCTTGATTTCGTCTAGGTAAAGCAAATCTGTCTCGCTCTACGCCACGTGGAAAGCAAAAAATAATTTCAGCGCGGAGCGTGCCAAGCTAAAGATTATAACAATAATTACACATTTTAATAAAATACGCCGTGTAAGACACAGACTCCAACTGATATTGTGTTTATTTTGACACGACACTAACCTGTCTGTGACCTCAAACTGACATAAGTGTTGTCACTGAGATTAATACAGTTAGGTAGATATAAGCGTGGGAAAAAATGTTCTTGAAAATTTTAATGTCCTATACAGGCAACTCTCGGTTTACGGACGTTCGTTTTACGAAACTGTCTGCTTGTCTTCAAGAACCAAACTTTCTGAAGGCTTGCACCAACGCAATCCCGCTTTAAATACCCCGCAACGTAACTGTTCTTAATTCAAAATTAAATTAAATTCACTTCTGACGTCGGAAACGCGCTGAAAAGCCACATTCGAATTTCATTGGTTCGAGTCGTAGTGAAGCAACGGTTGTCGGGCAACCGTTACTACACACCTGCAAGGGCTTAAATTTAAACTCGTAAGCAGCTTTTACGAGTGCGAAAACTTTATCAAAGTAACGGTCCCGCTAGACGGAATGTCGGGAGAAGAGGTTTTCACACGACTGAGTGTCGCCACTCTCCGTCAATATAATACGTTGGACAATGCCAAAAATTAATAAAATCACTCAAATTTGATGAAGTAAGGCGTACCAAATAGCATCTAATCACACCTCCTTCGTTTATATAAACCAGATTAATATGCCAAAGCCTGGTTTTCCCCTCATTTCAAGTTTCAGTCCGTTCGGGAATTGAACCACGGACCTGGACTGGCACAAACGTATAGTGAACATAATTGTAAGATTTAAATAAGTAAACATTTAAGAAATGTATTTAATACAATAATTATCAGAAAGTTATTATATGATAATTATACTGATCTGTTATTGTTTAATAAAACTATCTAGCCAGTAAAAGACGTTGGTGTACTTACCACGCCTTGTAGGATGTTTTCTCGTGGGAAAGAATTCGGTGATTCCCCCTATTATAATATAATAGGATCATCACTTGCTTTGCCTAGGTTATTTTAGACGGTTAAGTGTGGTTCTGCATTTGGTGACTTAAAAATATATTTTTAAAAATTTAAGCTATCATGGGTCCAAAGCGAAATATTAGTGCTGATGCTGATAGTGGTAGTAATAAAAGTTTAGAATCTAAGCTAACTAACTAACTAGATGGCTTACCGAACCCGAAGGTTCATCACCGAATTAACCAAAGCCCTCCACCGGACCCTGTCCTGGGCCAACAAAATCCAGTTTCCTTCAACTCCTATAATTCTTACAATAGATATAAATTACTACTAAGCACAAAGCTTAGGTTATAAGCATAAATTTAATAAGAACGCAGTATTAATGACAAATATCTACTTTAAGCGTTAAGATGACGTATATAAGTATTAAAAAGGACGCTATGTAACAGAGCTCTTTGAATGGATCATTAGCGTCTGTCTCTGAATCCATTAGCTAGCTCACTGTGCGTAACATTTCTTGCAGGTAATTTCAGACGTACAAATATATAAAAGGGCGAACGTCAAAATGAGTGAAGTATTAATTTACGTAGAAATATTATCCAGAAAATTGAAACTCAAGCCCAAATATCTCAAGCTTATTATAATATAATATTAAGATATCACTTAATTTTATTTTATATTACATTTTCATGTGTTTTAAATGCATTTTACCCTCATAATTACAGATTTTTGTCTAAAAATTTATTTCCCCGTGGAGTCCATATATACCGCTAATTTAATCAGTAATTATTTATAATCGAAAATTATTCAATGCTATGACTGCATCAGGATATGTAAAATATACTAAGCATACAAGATTGTGGATATACAACAACAGTTAGGTCCATACCCATGTAATAGACTCTCCCATATTACTCTGTAACGAATCTAAGCTAGACATCAGAAAGAGGTCAGAAGCAGGTGGACATAGCTCGTCATTATGGTGTGAACCGATCGAGTATCGTAAAAGCTCAGGAATGCAAGATACACATAACGAACAACGTCTTGGAACGTAACTCGTTCGTAAACCGATAGTTGCCTATAATTTCATTTAGAAACATTTAAATTTTGAAATTTATGATTTTATGTAAATCTTAAGATGGTATCCTAGTGACATTTAAAGTTTAATGCTGAACTCTTACCTATGTTTTGAAGTACTGAATGTGTTAAACACTAGCGGCTGCTAATTTATACAAGCCTGGACACATGTCTGTGTACAAGAACAGCTGTGCAATCAATGACAGTGTAAGAATATTAATAGTTGAGGGAAAATTCATAACATGCAATACAGGTCTAAGGCACATAGGCCTATGTAAAAGATATTAGATGTATTAATAAGAGTTTAATTATTTTAAATTTTGCCTTTATGATGATAACTAAATATTCCTTGGGGAACAAAATTACAATAAAATACATATTATATGAATATTTAAAAAAAAATTGTCGGAATTAGGAGAAGGATGCAGTCGGAACATGAGTCTTGTCTTGGATGTCAGCGTACAACTCAGACTCTCGGCATGGCCCGTGTCAAATTTTAAATATCCGTCCTAAAGATGACAACTGTAATGTTTGCCGAAACTTTGTACAACTTTTAGCTCATTCCCTAAAGCCAAAGCTGTACATCGGAATATGATTGTTCTTATGCCACAAAATACTCCTGTGGTCCTGTTCTGAAGCTTTCACGGCGACTAAGTATAATGAATTATTTTCGGGTTACGAGCCGTGCCAGGTGGTTTAAAGGAGAAAACACCAACGTTTCGAGAACCGTCCTCGTCCTCAGGGTATTCTGAGTGTTTGTGATTTTGTTTCTTGCATTAAACCACCTGGCACGGCTGGTAATCCGAGAAGAATTTATTGTACTCCTGTGATCCTGTTTGCGTTCAAAAAATACTAACGATTAAGTTCTGGGTTATGTACGATCGAGCCTCCACTGTAGGCAGAAGGAAGGAAGTTACTCCACGCTGTAAGCTGTTGCCCACCCTTCGGCTTACCGGGGCTTTGAAGCTTAACATTTGTATGATTTGAGGTCTTCGTGGGGGTGATTACGAACATGGCTGTCTTCTGCGTTGTGCGATCGCGCTGATGATGGAGGCAGCAAGGACCTCTGAAACGTCGGTAAACCTCTACCAGACAACACGACGTAACAACCCAGAAGACAGCCATCTTCAGGCTCATGTATTTCCTAAGATATAAATGCTTGGAGTTATACGTAAATTCCCCGTACACCATCATAGTGTGGCGAGTAATTAAGCTTGGTAATAGCGCCTTACCAGTTCAGAAAATTTTGTCTTCCCGTCTGATTTCTA